AATCTTAGAGGGACTGGAAATGGGGGTATTATTAAAACCGAAAAAAATTTTATTTCTTTGCATAAGGTTTCTCGGACTGTGGAATTCTGACGTTACTTGAGAGTCTCAGAAAGTGCTGAAACAAAATTTTTTGTGTATGACACGCCTGAAAAAGTGATGAACGGTATTAGTAGAAAGCAAGCGTGGCAACTGTTTTTGACGTTATATATGCACGAACTAAAATCTGAATGAAGGAAATCAAAAAATAATGGGCAACGGCTGTGATAACATACAGGAAATATACCAACAACGATACTCGCTCTTGCTTTTGGTGCATTTCATATGAGAGTTATCAGATCAGCCAAATAAAAATTGAAAGCAAACAAAGCACACTAAGACAAATTAGACTCGCAGATAACGGATGGTACATTGTCATTTACAAAACCTTCCCAGTCTCGCATCAGACGAAATGTAGCCAAAGAAAATAAAATTAATTATGCGAGACGATGTTCTCGTACAGTAGATGCAAAAAATAAAATTATCTGCCATTCAGGAGAGCTAAATGTTTTTCTCAAGAAAACTTTTTGCTTTCTGTGTTTTCTTAATATATGTTGCGCTTTTTACATTTTTTCGCTTATTTGCTACTGTTCTTGCGTTTTTAAAGTTACTACATAATTTTTAAACCATCCAGGTTTTTTAATGCAAGACGTAGACTGGTTTTAGGAGCTTTTTCGTATATTTAATCTGCCTATTTTTCGATGCGGTGGTGCTAGGCATATAGCTTCGAAAGTGACTGTCTCGAGGTTCATTTGCCGTTGGGAATTGAAATGCGTCTTTTGGCTCAAACTTCTAGTTCTGCTTAAGATTAAACCTGATTTTTGATTGTTATTCTGTTTCTGAGTTTCTTCTTTGATATTCTGCTTTTCATGTGCTGGTTGAAAAAGTAGTTTCTACTATTATCTATGGACTTAAACGACGGTATGGGCTTTACATAATAGTAAATTTTTAGTTATAATATTTCGTTCATTTTGCGGAACAAAGGAAGTTTACTGCCATTAAAATACGGTTACAGTAACAGTCGGAAGCAAGAGCTGCAGCACAACAATTATATTACTAATAATGAATATGCTAAAAATGGCAATATTCTTTCGTGAAATCCGCATCGTCTTTTCATTGACAGGTGTCAATAGATAGCACGTTTTTTGGGTTTCTGGAAGTGAAGCCTGGTATCTAAAAAAAACGGATCGAGAATAAAAAAACACTCAGGACTTACCCGTAATGTTCAAGAAAACTGTAGGTCGGTAGTTTCAGTTTGTAGTTGAGCAAAAAACGCACTCTAGATCCTGAGAGCTCGAATATTGCAAGATATTGTATTTCTTATGCTAGCTCACTGTCAACATCGCGTCTAAATATGAAGAAAGTGAGTACTCAAAAGAGCGAGAACCATTTTAACCGTCATGCAAGAAAACTTAGGTAGTTCACAGATCATTTTATAATTTTAGAAACGCTTTCTTATTTATAGTACTGGACAGAAAATAACCATAGAAAGTGAGAAGAAACAACATTCACGGAAAGAAACGCAAAAATAACTTTGGAGGAAGTTTATTCTCCAAAGTTAACTTTACTTGGAAACCAACGTGCGAAACAGAGGGAGGTTGGGATTCGACAAATCTGAGCGGTTTTCTTTACAAGGGATTATGGAGTTGGTTTGAGGTTAAAGCCGCAGATATATACAGTGTGTTATTGTGAAGACAGGAAAATGAGGCTAGTTCTCTCTGCATGATAGGTTTTATTTATGCTACTGCCAATGGTTGTTACTTCATTACAACAAATGCAATAGTAATTCCTCACAAAGACACTCGAGTGATGGGGTAAAGAAATGTTTGTTGTGGTATCTTCCTGGAAAATTTTAATGAATTAATTTTTTCTTACTTATGGCATTTCTCTTAGTTAGTTTAAACTCTCATGGTTAACTCTTATCATTTTGCTCACAAGGAGGAATCATTTGGATGATTGGTGGGTATTTTCCAGAGACTTGCCAATTGTTCTTTTTGGCCATTGTATGGTTGTGCCTTCCGAGCACATATTGATTTTACTTTGGAAACTGTTATGATCCAAAGCTCTTAAAACACTATTTTTGACTTCATCAAACTTTAAATTTTGTTAAAAACGTTATTTTTTCTTGAAAGTTTGACTTCTTTTTGGCTTCTTATTTTTTTATAAATGCATGACACGGATGTGGTGTTTTAAAGATAATTTTTAGTTTTTAGTTATTTTTTCTTAAAATATTTCATTTGGAACCTGTAAAATTTCAGCTTTTTACTTTCGTGACGAAATAATCCCAATATTTTGGTGAAGATAGATTTTTTTAGGAGTTCATCACGCTACAGTAAGATGAACTTTTCAAAGGGTACTAACGTTTCTTATGGTTAGTATTTTGCCGCTAGTTCTGTAATTAATTCGATATTGTAAACGCTGTTGAAGTTGGAATTCTGGCTGCTGATGTGTAATATTTTTTACAACTATGAAGCAATTAACTTGTACTTGGAAATGCTACTGACATTTCAGAGCTAAATCTCAATGTTATTTAACTGCTTTAATAGATTTGAATTTATATATAAATTCCTCAAATTTTTTCTGTGTTTGCAAATATAGCGAGAATTGAATCTCAAAAAAAAATTATTTGTTTTTTTCTTTGAGAAGCTGACTATACATCAAAGGAATCCTGGTCAGACGGAAGTAGGGAGTCTACAGTGTCGCCCCAGACGTCAAATTTGCATTTGTTTGAACTTCCTTTGCCGATTGCATTGACTGTGAATGATGCCGTTACTCACAAAGGTTAGCTAAATGAAGAGAATTCAACTTTCAAGGTACAAAAAACCTTTACTTTTACTTTTTCAGCTGTTTAGTTACATTAGCAGAGTTCTTTAAATTTTGAAATAGACCTCAACTGTTATTAATAAAAGACATACACTATTTTCAAAAAAAAGCAGTTCTGGACATAGTGAATAGGCTCATTTTCTATAAACTCAGGATTTCTCGTAAGTTCTGTTTTATAAATTCTTTTGAATAAGCATATTTCTTCAACAACAGTATTATTTCACTTTTTCACAGTAATGGTGATTTTTTCATAATTTTTTTAAAAAGAAATTTGATTGAAGGACTTATTGTGGTATGAAAATATTAAGGTTTTACATGTGTTTATTTTCAGAAAAAGCTGCTGTTAGTGACAGCTTAGCACCTTTAGCTACTCCGGAAACAACAGAGAATTTCGCTGACGTTGAAGACGGTCAATTAAGAAAAGTACAAGTACCATTCTTCAATTTCTAAGTTCTTCAATGAGTTTTTCACTATATGAGCTTTTTTTTTAATAACATGTATAGTATGCCAAATTCTGCTTCAGTTCACAGTGATTTCGGCGGCTTTAAATAATTTGTAGTTCCTGTTTTAGGCACTTTTCAGCCCCCTGAGGGAACCTAAATCTATGGGCGAATGTCGCGTTCCATCAGCTCCAGTGTTTCCGTTTTATTTGTTTGTTAAACAGCGGCGGGAAGGTTTGGAAAAACTTGTTTTTGGCTCATTTGATTTGTGCAGTGTTTTTAAGAACAGCTAAACTTTTATTTTTTCGTGCTCTGAATTCCTTCGTTGCCTTCGCTGTCAGTGAAAGGTTCACCACTACTATCAGCTACCTGAAATACTTCCTTACCGTATTCTTTGAGGCGGGTAGCATCTCACTGTTTTTTTGCTTTGTAAACTACTGCGCATATTGGATGGGGTTGCGCAGAGTAGTAGTTTGATGGAAGGTATTTTTGTTTAACCTTTTTAAGCCATTTTTTCAAATTTCTAGTTTTTTTTAGAAAGAATTTGTGGTGTGTTGTAAGAATTCTCTGTACTTATGCGGTTCCTCTCACCCTTCATTAGAAGCTGCTCTGGCACTCTTCATAAGCGCCCTCTACTATCCCCTGAAAGAGTGCCATTTTTTTTCTCAGGTCAGAATCTCCTAGTATTCTCCGTTTTGCTTATGTTATCCTTAAAAAGTAGGAGGTCAAGTTTTACTGGAGATTTTTTAAAACAAATTTTTAAATTTTTAAAAGTTTCGCTGAGGAATGGGTTTTTGTGAATTAGTTATAGACGAGTTCAAACGTTTGTT